GACTTGGGGACCTTGGCATATACCATGGAAGAGATAAACTGCCTGAATAAATGCATCCCTGTTTGCTTCTCCCTAGCTTTACAAAGCCAGTTTTAACTGAGAAACTGTTTACATGTGTGAAACAGAAGTTTTTCCACAGTCATTTTAATGCCAAGCAATTTCTACCCATGTCTAATCCCAACGCATGCCTAATTTAGACACATTTATCACAGTTTCATTATAACCGAGGCCCTTGGCTAAGGAAAGAATGTCAGACCGGGTCTTTAGACAATTGCGGATTTAATAACACTACTCGATTCTTCTCTTTCTTTACACCAGGAGTGCAGTTCAAATGTCACCATGATAGCTTACTATCCCCATCATTTCACGTATTGGTAAAATGAATAGCAGGAGGTAAAATACCTGACTGAGCCAAGTGAAGGCATGAGAGCGGTAAATGAAGAGTGTCCGCACCCATCACGAAGTACATAGCTCCTTGCAGAAGTGGAGACCGGAGAGCTGGTGCACCCTCGGGGGCGGAGGCTTGGCACCAGGCAGAAGGCTGATTTGAGGGGAGGGTGTGAGACTGGTATGCTGCAGAGCAGGCTCCAGCTCTCAGCCTTGGGAAACTCACACCAGCTCCCTTTCTGTCAGCCACCTGGTGGACACAACCACATTCATGTTTTGGTGTGGATCAAGGGCATGCTTTTGGATTGAATCTCCAGATCATCCTCACCACGTTTTGGTTTACCCGGCAGTGGTGAGTACACAAAGTGGATGCAGATGGCACTAAAGCGGAAGACCGGCGCCAGGAGAGCATCTGATCCATTCTGAGTGCTCCTGGGCCCTCATAGTGCTCATAGGCCCAGGCTGGAGTAAATCTGAAGAAAAACCTATGGAAAAGTGTGAACATCATTCAGGTCCTCAGCACCAAATGATTGGATCAGACTGATCCACATTACTTGCTAATATAGATGTATACCAGGTGGATGTAGCCTAGAGGTAGTCAGGGGGGCATGGCTGTTTTGGGGATATGCCTTCATTGTCTTCCTTGTGAAGCACATTATTGCATACATTCTAGCACTCAGCCTATATTTAACCTACCTTTTTGATTTGAAGCACTTTTCCTTAAAGCATACGCTTGAAATGTTAGGATGGAAAACTCAACCTTGCTAGATACTTTCCAACCATTTTTTATCCCTTGAGAAAATCTTCAATAGTGTTCTGATTTTAAGACTTTGCATTAAGGGGAAAATATGGAAAGTCTTATTTAAAAAAAATCCAAAGAAGTGGCTTTGTAATTTAATTCTGAACATGACTGTTGTTACTATTAAATGGTGTAAACACAGACTGAGTGCAATAAACCTCACTTCCATTTAGCATTAATAATATTAATGATCAGTACTTAAATCACATGCCATGTTCCAGGACTGTAAAAGAAACATTACCGAAGAGATTTTGCATGTCTGGTGCTGACATAATTTAAACGTGGCATAAAATTGTCTTCTGTCTGAAGGAATTTATTCAAGCTGCAGGGCGGAGAGGAGAAAGCAGAATAGGAAATCTCTCTTTCTCCCAGAGGCTCTGTGTGCACCATCCCTCCTCGCCCCAGCAGGCAACCCCTCCCCAAAACTTCCCCACTTAAGCCACTCTGTGAAAGGACCGGAGCTCCTGGCTCTCCGCTTGACCTAACCCCGCCGGGATGAGCTGCTTGGTACTCTGGTCACATTTACTCTCACTGTAGACCAGCTCCCGAACTGTTGCGATTAAAATGCTGGATCAGCAGCTCGCATGCAGGCACACACACACACACACACACTTATCACACGCACACCATCAGATTAGCCCATATTTTCCCATGTAAGGGCTGCAGCCTCCCCCGTTTCCCTTTAACACTCCTTCCCCGCCGGCTTTTTCCTCCTCTCCTCCCCTGATCTTTCCTCCCCTCCGTCCCCGGCTCCACCGCCCCACGCACCCCGCAGGCAG